ATCAATTTCATTGTAAACATTTAAAAACATTGTACAAAAATAAAGCTCAGAATCACATTTAACTTGATAATATTATCATTTAGGCTTTGATAGCACTTCAAGTTTAAACCCAAATTCATGTTTACGTTGCGAGTGCAGTTGCAATCAAAGTTACAATTGATTTAAAAATGGTTACAACTTGGACAGTTAATATAATCTTGATCAAAGTATCCAACGACAAGGGAAAAAAGATTCAACTCAATGTTTATTTATATTGTAATGAACACTGCTCAGAGAGATTTGATTCAAAGATCATTTCAATTTCCATATTTAATATGAAAACTCAGTCTTTTTTGCAGAACCTCATTTCCAATCGAAAAGTGTAAACATTTAAGTTTCAATTTTTGTCACTCATCTTTTTCATCTCATCATTATCATTGTTTTCACCATTATCATCCTCACCATCACCTAATATGATACACTTTTCAACACTAATAATCGGTTAAATTATAATAACATTGTTCCTTTGCTTCATCCTCTTACCGTTTGCCCAGCATTTTTCATCTCATGTTTCGCTGTTCAAATGTTCATTTTAACATGTTAACTGAAATTACTCTGATTATTAACTTAATCTTTACCATCGCCATCCAAGGATCACATTTCAAAGGCAAAAAAGCTTCAAAAACCGACTCATTACCATATTGAAGCAAAATAGACAAAATTATTTTTACTCTAATTGTTGGCATTTATTTAAAGTTGATCAACTAAACAATAACATTGTGTTGATTTTAGGAAAAGAAATTCATTTCACAAAGTTCATTTCTAGAAATCAATGGGAAAAAATTAAATTAAATTTGTAAAGATTGAACCTTTAAAGTGTGAAAATATCTAAACAAGAAAAGTTGGAGGAAACCATCAGTTCATCGCTTTATGTTAATGTTAAACTTGCCTCTGAAAGACTTTGATTGTGAAAATTGTTGATCCTTTTAAATTGATATTAAGTGTTAAAAGATTACCTGTTCAGAACTGGGTGAAATCTGATGAGATTTTTAAGCTCATCAAATGCACAGGGAACATCAATTTGGTTTTATGTTTCATTTGATTTTGATTTTCCATTTTTTTTGCATTTGCAAATTACAATATTAGCTGTTGGATAATGACGATGATTACTATTGTGAATGATTCAATTGATGAGTTAGGAGCAAATAAAATGGTTTAATTTAAGTCAATAATTTTGCTTCGCTTCTTATGCTTCTTCTTAATCTGTAATAATCTGAAATGTCTGTTGATCACAGAGAAACTGATTCAGATTATTGAGATCGATTTAAATGATAATGGCAAATAATAATGATAATAATCAACCTTTCAATAATATTGAAGAAAGGTGATGCTCTACAACAGATCAGCAGTAATGAGTAAATGAAAGAGAAGGAAAGAGAAGAAAAAATTGTAGGAGTTTACACTTAAACCTTTAAACTATGATAATAATAAGACAAGTTGGGAGGATGAAGAAGTAGGAAAGAAGAAGATTCAAGATTGAAAGGTTGCAAGATGAAGAGTTGTCTAACTTTTTCTGATCAACTTTTGATCATTCTCAATCCACTTTGGTCAGTAAAATCTAAGAAAAAAAGTTTCTGATCATTTCACAAGTAGCTATTTTTTGTTGAGAACCCTTTTTACTAAAAATTTTAAACGACATGCAGGTGGAAATAAATTGCATGGAAATATGTTTAAATAATTGCTAATTAGGTAACGATGGACGGAACAAAATTCATATCTATAATAATGAACAAGTGACATTTGAGCTATAATTAGTCAGTTCAAGAATGAAAAAGTTGTAGAGGTAAAAAATCAATTCATTATCTTTTTAAAGTACGAAAACTAATTATAGATTGTTAACCTTTGTTTATTATTTGAATTTAATTAATTTAAGAAAGAGTTTAATCTGAGAATAGACTATATTACATTTTAAATGATGCATGTTTTGTTTTATTAAATACATTAAAACCTGATTAGATTTTCTTTTTGCACTTAAATATTTAACGGTATTATAAATTGCAATAATAGTTTATTTAACTATTGTTTGGTCGCACTTATAACGTACATCTAAAAATCAAATCTGATGCAATATTGTTTAAGAAAAAATGAAAAACGTCGAGCAATGCTGAATACAAGAACCTAATAGGACAGATTGAATTCGATTTTCATTAAAATAACAAAATTAGGAATCGAATTAGGTTCAATACAAAATAAAAACAAGAAAATGCACAAACTAGCTCTACCTGGTGAACGTTAAAATGACTAATAACTTACTTTGTTCTATTCGTTTGTTTTTAAACATCGAGATTAAAACATTTTATCAATCGAAGAAAACAAATTATTCAACGACAAATTCTGAAGTTCAAATTTTAATTAACAATTTGGAATATGCGTCATTCCACAGTTGATTTTGTACACTGTATTCAAACGAAAATGTAAAGGAAAATGAGAGAGCGATTCAATACAGATCAACAACAAATTTTTTCTGGTGACAGAAGATGGCGCCAAGAGACTCTTTTAATGATCTGTAACTATGAAAGTTTTTTTGATAGACTTTCGCTTGATTATTTCAGATTTCTTTGGTTAAAGTGAAATAAATTTTCACAATAGCATCATTAAATAAAAAATGATAGCATCATCAAAATCAATTAAAATAATAAGATTATATTTCTTTTAACTCAAGATAAGAAAGAGAAATGAAAGAGAAAAGTGTTAAATATTTGTGTAAAGAGCAAAAATAAAGTGTTTCTCGCGCCATCTTCTGAAACCAAAAAAATTAGCAATCAAATTGTTTCAACTATCAAAGCAAAAAGGAAAATGAGCGGAAAAAGTTCAACAGATGAAATGAATCAAACAGCACAACAGAATCACTTCTAATCATTTATAATTTCATATCAAGTCAAACAAACAACGCCTATTGATTGCACACCTATTATACTTGCATAATATTTAGAAATAGTTGGCAATATTTCTTTATTTATCATATGATTGTAGCTAATCTTGACTTTTGATGTTTTATTATTATGATTAATTGTGATTAATATTATATTTGATATTTCAATTTTTGCTGTTCAAGTGCGATTTATGATGAAATGGATTACATCAGCAAGTAAATCGTCATATACGATTAGTGTATCAATAGGTTAACATGAAACAAAGTGATAAAAAAGTGGGAAATCCTAACGCCTCAGCCATTACATTTGTAAGATCTGCACTTAGCAATATTTTGCAAACGATGAGTGTTGACTTTTGATTCAATTTCATCCAACTTTTATTGAATAGATATGGATAAATAATAAAACGATGTAATCAACTTTTATTGAGGTGAATCAAGCTCAACTATCCAATAATGAGCAAACATTGACTACAACTTTCAAGCTAAATAGGAGCATGGAATATGACAATTGAATCGATCCTTGGATAAATCTATCAATCTGAATGTCAATTTCCCAATATCATGATTAAATGAGTTTAATGCACTGGATTTTTATCAATAATAAGTAACATTCAATCGTTAATACACACACTTTAATCAAAACCAGATTGCTTGAACCAGTCCATTTTAGGTTTACCAGATTTTCAACCTTTTTAACCGAAGCGACTGTTTTGTAAATATTGTTTACTTGCCATTAAACAACAATTAATCAGAGTCTATTTATTTTCATTAATCATTGTAATCATTATGTTTGAGGTTTAGGTTGAAGAGTTGAAATGTAAAGAGAAGTGAAAATGATCAGATTGAGAAATAATTAAGTATGATTACAATTTAGAGTAAAACAATACTTTACATTTCACTTTTGTTGCTCAAATTACAATTAAAATTGCTGTCGTCAATTGCACAGTCAATGGATTGCACTTTACTAACTAATTAACCATCATCAATCTTATGTTACCTTAATTTAGCATTTCCAATTTGTTCAGCTTTTATCGCCTTATTACAATCTCTACCTTCTGGTAAGTCAAACAGCTAATCAAGTCTACAATTTAAAAACAATTGAATGTGAATCTTGATCAGCCTAAACACAAACACACACACAACAATCACACTCAGACACGATAATTTAACAGCGATTAGTAGAAACTCATCGAATTGTTTCATCCATCAATTTCATCTCGTCTTGAGCCTCATAAATGTATTATTTACCTTGTTAACCTCCTAAGCCAACCGTTGCATTTATTCACAACAAGATAATCTTTTGTTCCCAATTAAATCTATTAATTAGCCAGACTTGATTATCGTCAATCCTCTCTCAATGTTCATTATTACAGACAATTATCATCATCATTGGACGTTAATTTTTTGTTAACCATTTCAATTGCTTCTATTAAATCATACAACAATCATTCTTCACAGTTGACTATTTAGTTTACATTTTATGTCTCATTTTAATCAAATGAAGTGCTTCCAGTTGTTAACATTTTGGTGAAATTATATCATTTCAATAGTAACTTTAGATAAAATCTGATATTTTCACAACATTTCATAATCCATAAGCTTTCTGTTGTATTCAATGATGATAGATAATCACACATTTTGAGATAACGAAACACTAATCATGAAATTTATTGTTGACATTAGCGATGAGTATTGTTTTTGCTACAATTGTATTTAAACTTCAACTATTGTTTTAGTGATCGCGTAAGTCAAATTGATAGACAAAATGCTCAGGTGTTTAATAATTACCAGAAGATCAATACTTACCAATCATCTGAACTGGTTAATGCATTGTTGCTTACCTTAATGATTGGTCCAAGGTTTTGGGATAATTTCATTTCAATTTAGTTTAAGTTGATTTTGTGTTTATTAATAGATTGATAAATATTTTAATTTATACAGATTAACAGGACAAATTAACCTCTTACATTAAATTTAGAACCATTATCATATTGTAACGATAATTCGGATAATTATCAGGAGATATTAGACAATAAAGACATAAGGATTGCTTCTGGCTTGAAATACATGTCATGTATTGGTTCCATTGAAGGCTCAAAAAGTAGATTTAATATTGAAATAACAGGTCACTTGCAGGAAAATCTGCCATTGATTGGTACAATAGAGATTAAAATGACAAGGTTTAGTAATAAAACAATTTTGTTCCGATACATTTACTTATTTATTTGCAAGTGCTTTTCATTGGCCTTACAAATAATGATTTTACACCAACACTGCTTCTTTTTGTCCGTCAAACTGCTCGATATTGATAAAAGAGTTTGGACCAAATAAAAACTACAACATTAGTCTGGTTAAATTGATTTAAAAAGGTAGATCATTTCAGGTTGATTCATCTTTAGCGCAACTTGTATTTTAGTGCAATCTATAAATAGTGATGAGATCAGTTTTGCTTTTGGACATTCAAACAAAAAAACATTTCCATTAGGCAAATGAAATTATCAGGTTAAAAGCGGCTAAATTGTTGGACCATCTTAATCACTTTTAGGCTTTGATTCACTTTAAGTTGGTTGGTTGAGGTTTGGTCATTGGGTGAGTTCCCTGTCGGTTTGGCTTGAGCCGAGAAGAAAATTGAATTTAAAGATTCTTCTTCTTTTGCTTTTCTGTTTAAGGGTTCGGAGCAAAGATTCAATGTTTAAGCCCACATTTATTGGGCCAATTTGTTTTGTCATCTTGTTGTTGCTTTAATGCAAGTTGATAAATATCACTAACTACGAAATATCAAGGATTAAGTGTACAATATTCAGAAAAGTAGAGACGATTCTCGTTATGGACTCTCATAGAGAGGGATAAATTTTACACTTTACAAGTATTAATCAAGGTGAGCTGTGCAGAAGAAAATGACTTTAATTAGTATGTTAATTGCTGATAAGAGGTCGTGATAACATGAATTGAGGAGTAACTTACTTTAGTTACTAGATTGTCGACCATTGAAGGCTGGACATGGTAGAATAGTTGAGGCTGAGTTGATAATACAAGTAAAATGTTGACCAAGTTTCACTTGTATCGCATTTTAAATCAGCTTTTATGTTACAGAGGACGAATTAAGAAAAAAAGTTAAATAACAAGTTTTGAGTTGGGATTATTAAAAAAAAATGAGCCTCTATTAAGACCAACAAGGAAATATTGTGACTGCGATGTGACCTGGATGAGTTCAAACTGGAGTTGAACCATTTAATAAGAATGCAGACGTCTGATATTAATTGAATTTAATTTGCTAATGATGATGTTGATGATAATGTTGTTGCTTGTTTGTTTATCAAGTTTAGCGGATAGCTTAAAAGATGTCGTTCTATCAAAGAAGAATCATCTTTCAGAATAAAAGGGATTGATATTGCTTCGGGAATTGCCAAAATTTCGGATTTGAAAACGATCGCCAATTTCTGAACAATAGAAAACAGAAAATTACGAATTAGAATTCATTCGAGACATTTATTTTTGGATTTTCGCAATTTGCCTCAATTCGTTCTTACAACATTCACCCCTTTCTATCTCGTTATAAAAATTGGATTGAGCTAATTTTTGCTACAGTAAATTCACATTTATTTTGACCAAAAAAATAGCGTAGCCTTTTACTTGTGAATTGGTAATTTTTTACAAATGAAAAAGTGTTAATCTTCACCCAGATTTAAGCTTATTCAAATTCAAGCTTTTTAATTCATTGGTTTTCAAAACGAAAAATTTCTTTCACTATTGAAAAAGTCTGAAAGCTGAAAACGTTTGAAACAGTTTAGACAGTTTTACTCAAAGCAAAGGTTCAGACTTTAACTGCTATCGGGTATCTTGGGGAACTGAGGCTATGAACTTTTTCAATAGCGTAAGAAAATTTTTCGTTTTGAATCATCCTGCTAGGGCTAGAGCTCTGATATTAATAGATGCTCTGATGCATTGGTCAAAATCAGTGTGAATTTACTGTAATGCTGATATTAAATCAAGGGGAAATTTATATAAATTTATTTGCAAAAGTTTTTCTTCGATAAACTTACCTACGCGATCGATCATCCTGATTTCTGGCGGTATGTCCATCGAATCGGCATTGTCGAGTTTCAGCATTCTTTTGTAACTATCATCTTGATATTTTTCCAAGAGATACTTTAAAACATGTAACTCTTGATTCATTTTGGCAATATGATGATGCAGTTTAGCGTTTTCAGTCTCGAGCTGACCCATCCGCTCGAGCGTTTGAACAAACTTTATCTTTGATTTCGACCGCGATTTTCTAACTGCAATATTATTCCTTTCCCTTCTCAATCGATATTCCTCACTTGTCTTATCGATTGTGATTTTACCTGACTGAGAACTGGATGAACTTCCATCTGGAGTTTTTGTATCGTGTTTATATTGGCTGTGTCGACTAAAATCATGATGATGCTCAACTGACGATTCATCAATCGTTCCTTTCTTATAGGCATTGGGAGAAGATCTGTCGCCGCTGCTTATAACAGATCGTCGTCTGGTTCCATTTTCATACAAATAGATGTCAGAAGGAGAATCTGATGATCGACCAAATTTATCTTGGGTTGAAGTTGATGTTGAAGGTGATGGTGACAGGGAAGAGGATGAAGATGATGCTGAATAAGAGAATGGTCGAGGTTGAGGGTCGACAGGAGAGCTTGCAGGAGATGGAACAATATATTGGTGATTGATATTAACATTGCAACGATTTTCACGTCGTTGTGAAGACGAATGTAAAAGTTTTCCGTACTGACTGGTAACACTTGATGGTGTTGGTATTGAGACGGTCGAACGCTTAGGTCGACCTACAAATGAAAGATTGGGACAATTCTCACCCATGACAACATTACCGTTCGGATCATCGCTCTGTGGCGTACCTGGTGTACTGGAACTACCATCTGCCTGGTCCGATTCCGAGGAACCTGCGTTATTGGAACCAGAAGTTTTGGCGCCTTGCGCAGCGGATGATGAGCCAGAAGCAGTAGTAATAACTGTAGTATGGTTAGAAGCAGTTGAAGCAGTAGTTGTAACTGTTGTAGGTGTTGAACAAGTGGTACTATTATTAGCAGAAGCTGAACCATCGGAATTTTTCCTGGTGATAGCACGGATTTTCTTATTAATTGGTGCCATTATCCTCTGAAGAGATAGGAAACACAATAATCAAGTAACTGGAGATGTAATAAAGTGATGAAAAATTTATCAAATGAGATATCAGTTTCTTGTAACAATAAACAAGTTTACTTGGAGGCAAAACTAAAAGTTCAAGATTTACCCAAACTGTATAATGATGAATGAAGAAGCGTTATGAATGATTTAAAGGTGAGCAAAATGTTTATATGTTGAATGGTTCAAAGCAATGGTTAGAGTCAGTAGTTTTCACTCAACAATGAAGGTTTACTTTTAAAGGCAAAGGTTTAGTCTGTTAGATGTAAGAAGGTAAAGAGGTAAAGATGACCAGAGATTGAAACAAATCCATGATGAACAATGGGAACAGTTTTCTTTTTGGTGGAAAAACAACTTTCACTGAAACATGTAATATTTGAAATGATGAAAAGCTTGGGAAGCAATCCGATGAGAGAAAGTAAAGAGACAAGCAAAAAGCAGTTACAAACTATGTAAAACAAGGTAAGATGAACTGTAATTTAAAAATGGTATTGCAAGAAGAGTAAGCGAGTAAAGGATGAGGCACAGATAAACTATCAATTAGGTTCAAGATTGATATTAAGACGAACCGATTGTTGACTGTGTGTATCACTGGGTTGAAATGGAAATGCAAAACACTCAAAAAAATGATAAATAAACCTTGGATCTTGGGTCAATTTTGAAATGAAAAAAAAAAAACTAATCATGAACGCAAGAAAGTTAATGAATGACTATGTACAAATAATTCTATTGCCTTTCTTTCTTCCTTTCTTCTACCCAATCTTCCCCTCTCTAAAACTTGGTAATTCCCTCTCTTTTTTCCCCCCGGTTTCATCAGGATTTCACCCTGATCCTAAAAGTGAACGCCTTGTCCTCGTGTAGCATTTTATTAGTCAACTTTACTCTCTATTTCTCTTTCTTTACCATTTCCCTTTCTTTTCTTTCTTACTCTGAATCCCCTCTCTCTTCCCACCCTCACCTCCTCAACATTACACCTAAACTCCGCCTAGGTTACGTAAGGATGCGTGTATCGTGTTCATGCAACTTCAACTGATTCAAATAAAGATAGTAACATCAATGAAAATTTCAACCTCGAGTCACACTGGACTAGAAAAACAAATGCTCGAGGATAAAAATGAACCAATCCTGGTTGATATAAAATACAGTAAACAAAAGTGGAGAAGGAAAGAGAAACCAGAAATGTCTTCTTCTTCTTCTTCGTCGTCTCTTCTAATCACCTGTTTACCCACGGTGAACAATTCATTTCCACTGATATAGATTTATTCACCAATTTCAATTGCTATTGAATTAAAAAAAAGTCCTATTGTCACTTTAAATTTGGTTACGTAAATGGGTAATGATTATCTGAAAAATGAACCCAATCGATCATCAAGTCTGACTACAATGTGCCAAATCTTGAAAAAGATTGACAAAACAAATGAGCAAATAATGTTTGCCTATTTTTATCCTTGATATCAAATGCTAAATTAACTGTACTTGCTGTGTGTTTTTTTTCCTGGCATCAAACTAGGTAAATAACAAAGGAATGAATAAGATAATTCTGGTGAATAAACTATAATCTAATACAATGGTAAAGAAGATTAAACAGGCTTTTTTTTACACCAATAAAGTAACTTGCATTTACATAAAGGCTACTGTTCAAAGTGATAAATGATTTTTCAATTTTCACTTTACCTTACCTTGAATTAAAACAAAAATCAGTGTAAAGCCTTTAAATGTTCCAGTAGGCAATTTTACCTGTAATTATCACATTAGTCAAAGTATGATTAACAGTTATAGAGTTGCGAAATATTGCGTTACGTCAGTGTAAAAAAGACAGACTCAAAACCTTTATTTTGTAAGGATTGTTTACAGAAGCAGCTGAGGTTAGGCCCCACCAGCGATGAAAACCAAAACATTTTACCTAAATAGTTTGAGATTCAAACAATAGATGGCAAAAGTGAAATGGCTTTACTCTATTTTTTTAGTTAAACCTTAATGAATATTTCCATATGTTTTGGGTTTCAACTTTGATAAATTCTGGTTATTCATGGATATTTATGGTCATTTCGAGCGATTTATGCCATCAAATCGTGAAGTCAATTAAATTTGGACTTATATCGTCGGAAATGGTAAGTAAATCTAATGCTTTTATGAATTTAACAATTTAATGATTCACTTTTTATTCTCATAGGAACCTTAATGTAACTCAATGGAAACCATTTCAAGAAAAAATGTCAACAATGATATTGAATATTAATGAATGAGGAAAAACTGAAACAAAAATGATTCAATTTTGTCTAGACGAATGGACTTGTTTATCTCAGTTCTAAGGATTAAGTTTCTCTTTCTCATAATATCTATTCGCCATGGCATGAAGACAGGAACCAATCGATTGGAAATATCCATTTCAAAGCCCAGTTGCTGTTGTTGTTCAGCTTGAAGGCGAAAAGTTCAAGTTCAAGGTTGGCATTTATTGTTCAACTTTGGTTATTCAAGATCGCTCGATAACTTATATTTTATTGTCAACAATATCATTCTTTATTATTTTGCTTTAGTAGGTTTGAATAAGCCTAAACATAATGACTCTAGTTTACACATCTGTAGTTGTGTAGATTGTATAAGTCAAACAAACGGAATTGGTGAAACTGTTGAAGGTTGAATCGATGAGAAGTGTGAAAATCACGAGCAATATTGAATCATTTGACCCACTTTGAGTTTACCAGGTTATAAATATAACACTTTAGAGTAAGGAAATGAACCAGAAACCAGTCAATGATCATGATTACCTGGGGAAGGACAAGAATCAAACAGTAAATATGACACTTTATATAACGCCAAGCATGGTGAAATTGGCTTCATTCAAATTGGTTAAGATGTTTAAAAATGTTTAAATTTAAACAGATGATCACAAATGAAATTGAAAAGGTGATTATTTTCATAGAAAATTGATTGTTGACTCAGTCAACAATTGACTACTTATTTTCCGGGTTATCTTCACATCCAGTCTCATCGTGATCAGTCTTTATCCTTGTTTTCACCATCATCCTCACCATCTTCATCAAAACCAAAATGCAATGTTCAACTTGAATTCATAAACATAATTACACTCTAATTGCGCTTCGTGATGTGATTAAAGTCAATCTATTTTAACCAATCATAAAGTGAATAAATAAACTGGTAAACAATGTTCAACACTTTTAATACATGATCACCAAGGGGGTTCTATCCCTGGTTGCCGATAACACCTAGAGGTGAAAGTCGAAGGAATCGGGTATGAAATGAGTGCAACTAACTGCATCCAGTGAAAGCACAACCTGACCCAAGCTAACCAAACATAACCCAACATAAGCAAGCTTAAACCTAAACCTAGATCAAGTGATATTTACTGAGCAACAGACAGTATTAAACAGAATTGAAATAGCTGAAAGAATTTAATTTTTTAAGATTTAATCACAATCTATGAACAAAATCATCGCTTTCCAGCTTTTGGCACTTGATTGGGTTTTGTTGACTCGAAAGCTTGAAATATTGGTGAAACAGGAATAAACATGAGATAATGAAATCATTACTTCTTCATCACTTAGATGGTGAAAGCAAGAAACAAAAGCTTGTGAATTTTTCTGTCTTAACCCTTTTGTTTCAAGGTTTTGTATCAGAAACAATTGTTTAAAAACAAAGCCACTGGTTGAGACAAGTCTTGAAATGAAGCACAAGAAATATCAACCAAATATTTGAGTCTCATTGTCTAATTTTAAAATTAATGACTTTGAATGGATCATTTTTTCCCTCTTCAACTTAAAGAACAAAAATTAACTCGGAATTCAGGGCGTAAGGGGTTAACTGGTCCGTGGAGCTAAAGGCAAGGCATTACACAATTCCAAATGAAAGTTACTCAAAAATATTTCGCCCTCAATGACTTGAAATATCTAATTTTATAATGAATTCCTACGCAAACTTATTTTCTTGGATCTTTCAACTATAGATCAACCTTTTCAGCTCATAGTTTTTTTAAAAGATTTAATAAATCATAACATTATAATGATTAAAAATTAACACTAATTTCTTCTGGATATCAGCTCAGTGTTCAGGGTGTAGGAGGTTAACTGGTCCGTAAACATCAGTGTTGACATATCACGAAAAGGCAAAAATATCAAATGAATTTGGTTCCATTTTCCTTGCTTTCCTTTTCTGGTTGAATTTATTGTTTGAAGGTTCACAACTATTATATAATCTGAAAGTTGTTTGGTCAAGGAAACATGAGAATGGACACTTTTGACCTTTTCAATGATCGATCAATATCCATATTCACTTGGAAATTCATTGACAGAAATTTGCTTTTCTCTTTTCATTTTGACATTCTCTTGTTACTCTATTCTCCTCTCCAAATTTCAATGTTCAGTTCAAGGAATCTCGATGCTTAATTTTTGGGTAAATAACAAGTTTGCATGGAATCAACTGTCTGAAAGTATCATACCAGCCTGAAAAGAGATAAAAAAATAAATTAAATTTTTGAAATTAACATGCAAATTAACATTAGGAAAAATCTGGTTGAAAAGATTCGGAGCCATTTTGGTTAATCTTTTTGAGATCTTCTTTAACCAAGAAATTTGATCAGAAATTTATCAGTCTCTATCAAATTTCACTTTTAATAATGAATTTCAGGCCAATCCCACTCTGAGCCAACAGAAAACATTTAACTTGAAAGACTCAGAATGTACTTGTAGATTAGCTAATTATTTATCTATCAAGTCATAAATAGTTAATCAGTATTAAAATATTACAGAAGACATAAAATGTCGCTTTAATGTTTCACCTTTTTTGGTCTACAAGTTATTAATTTTCATGTCAAAATTTGACAATTTCTAGTTTCTTGCTCTTCACTTTATGTTTAAATCAAAGCTTTTTTCAAAAATCAAGATTTATTATTTCAAAGGAACTCTAAATTTTCAATGACAAATTGCTCAGCCTGAGCCTGAAATATCTGATGCTAATGGCAACGAGAACTGCCAAAGATCCTAATTGCTTGAAACCCAATTGGAATGGTTAAATGGTATTCATTTTTCAGACTCACAATTGTCAGATTAAATCTGACTAGACGTTATTCAGTAAATGTTTCAATTTCAGTAGCAGTTTAAGATTGCATTTGTGCAGAATTAGGATTAAGTTTTCTTTGAAAACTGTTATTCGAAAAGTTTAAATCAATATTTGTGTTTCTCTTGCGACTTAATATTAAGATTAACTATAAACACAAATGGATTGAAAGGCTGTTTTGAGCAACAAATTGAATACACCTTCAAATCAAGGTTTACCTTTATATCACATTTTAAGCTTATGGTATAAAACATGAAGAGTTTTGTATTTATTTATTCAATGTATCAATATTAATATGATTATCATTTGATTAGTTGTTGCTACTCAATTATGTTATTCATAATTGTCTGGTAATTTATGATTAAACGCTTGCCAGCTAAAGCCTCGAGTCTAGAGCATGAACATTCTCAATGATCTTTAAACCACTTTTTTTATAGAAATGACTTTGTTTTTGAATTGTGCTTTAATACCAGGAAGCAAATACTCTCAGCTCCGCCTCGTCTTAACCATGAATATCTCCGACTCTAATGAATCATTGCTAATGATCTAACATATACTGATAAGTTATCAAAATGATAACATGATGAAAGTGTTGATAAATTGTAAACAAAACAAAGTCTCAAATAAAGGGTTGACTTAAAGTTCCTGCGTTTTCTGCTGTAAGAATTAGCGCCGATTTTTCTTAAGCTCTGAACTTGAACCGTGTTCAATTTACAAAATGGTTTTCATCAGTTATCAGTTTTAAAATTAGCTGACATTAGATTGTCAACTTTTCAGACGGCAAATTAGTTTCAGACGAAAGGGGTTTGAATGGGAAACCTTGATTAAATTGTTGATTAAAATGAAAATTTTGATAATCTTTTACTTACCGTTTTAACACGCATTGTGGGACTGTGCTTATAAATAGGTACCTTTAAAGCTTCTGAAGCAGTGCGAAAAAAAGATTTTTGTTTTTATTAAAAATAAATCAACACTCGATTATAAAACAATTTTTCAAAATTGTTTGTTGTGCTGTCGGCAATCATAAAATATGAACAAAGTTTCAGTTTTTCATTTTCTTATATTATATTTGAATCGAGAAGGCGAAAACGTTTAATTGGCATTATTAAAGACAGTTAAATTCTAATTAAAAATTCGGTGTGAAAAATTTTATGATAATTTAGGGTTGAATTTTTGGAAATTCCCTTATAACCAAATCAATATATTAAATCCAGTTTATCATTCACCTGACACCTCCATTGTCACTTTGTGCCTTTAAGAATGGCCTTTCCTCTTGTTTTTAGGCTAAATTTGATATTGATTCTGATTATTCCCAAAATGATGTTCCATTAAATCTTGAATTATGAAAATTTGGACTTACATTGTAATGCTTCGCTTAAAATGAGTGAGTAAATCTGATGCATTGAGAAATGGGATTTTAAAATGTATTTTTAGTTGTTTAAGCAAACTCCGTTGGTCGGTGAAACTCGATGAAAGCCGCTTCAAGAAAATAAGTCAACAATACAATGTAATACTGGATATTGGTAAATAGAGAAAAACTGCCAAAAAAGGCTTAAATGTTGTCTAGACGAATGGATTTATCTCAACGAACCAGGAAAAACTGATTAAGTTTCTTTTTCTAATAATATCCATTGGCCAACACATGAAGAGAACTACGATTGGAACAAATCTTTTAATTCGTCTGTTGAATATACAGTATTAATATGTTTTCATAAATTGATTAACCAAACCAGAAAACAATTTTTTTTCTTCATTAATCTTCCATTCTCATCGTGATCATCTTTTTATACTTGTTTTCATTCTCGTTATTCCCATCAAAACCTAATGATCAACTCGTAATCATAATCAAACCTAATTACATTTAAATTACAATTCGTGATGCCATTAAAGCAAATCTATTTGAAGAAGACGATATAAATGAATAAACTGATACACAATGTCCAACACTTAGCACAGTTTCACAAAAGGTTAACCCAAAAGAAGCGAATCCGGAAGAATTGAAAGATCATTTAATTCTGTACAGTTGATTGATGCTGTATGGGTCAAAGGCTAGTCAGACCTTGAATGGTTACCCATTCTCATCGTTACGCAAGCTGACCATTAAACGTATCAACATTAACCTTGTAACTGTTAACTGGCTTTAATTATCTCGTCTTTCATTAAACTGAAAGCTGACATAAAGAAGGTGAAACATTTCCATTGTTGGTACTATTTACACCTTTACCGATCAAAGGCATAACATTACAATAGACAAGTTTTAAAAATTTAAAGATGAATCCATTTTTTTCATCGACAATACAAATTAACAAAGCCATTCATGAGATATTGATGGAACGGGCAATCAGGTTAACATGAAAGGAACAATTGAAGCTAATTGTTCATCTTTTTTTCCGACCACTTTCATCAATAGGCTATCAATGAAAAATATAAATCCATTTTTTATCACTTCTATTGTTGATGTCTCTTTCAATTTTAACAGTTTATGGTTCAATTTTTGATACATCATAATCAACAATCAATCAATCGTTATAAATAATTGCTGTATCAATTGGACAAAATTATTCATTTTACATGATAAAATTAACTTTGAGTAACATTAACATTTCAATGGAAAAATAGGATGACATTGTAATTGATTTAACATGTAAATTTTGAAAGCACATGAGAAAGATTGATATGTGAGAAAAAACAAGTTTCTTTTGAAAATACAATAGTTTACAATAAATTTAGTTTCTTTGTATAAATATGTTTAAATATTGTTACAGTTTTGTGTCCATTTCAACTGGAAATGTTAAATCAAAAATAAATATCGATTTGTTTTACAGCAATTCATAAGTATTTATATCAATGATGAGATGGATAAAAAAGCATCAACACTGGCTTTATATTACAACTCTTTTAAAATTAACAATAACAGGCAACAGTTTTCAACAATCTATTTTGACATAAAGATTTAAGAATCCATTCATGTTGAGATAATGATGGCGTGAGTATCAAGTTTTACCAGAATAGTAGAGTGAAGATGTAAAGACAGCTTAATTCACCGGCTAAAATTAATCACATTCAGATAATGAAACCATTACTTTTCCATTATTTAGTTGGTGAAAACGAGCAAACAAAAGCTTGTGAATTTGTTTTGTCTTTTGCCTTTTGTTTCAAGGTTTTGAATCAGAAACAATTGTTTAAAAACAATGTCACTGGTTGAAACAAGTCTTGAAATGGAGCACAAGAAATATCAACCAAATATTTGATTCACAATAGAGACCATTTCTTAATGTGATTTAATCTCATTGAGAAGCTGTCGTCTAGTCTGTAAATTAATGACTTTGAATGAACTTTTTTTCCCTCTTCAACGTAAATAGCAAAAATTAGCCCAAAATTCAGGGTGTAAGAGGTTAACTGGTCCGTGGAGATACATCAGTGTTAACATATCACGAAAAGGCAAAAAATATCATTTGTTGGAATTTTATTTGTGTCCATTTTTCTTTCCATCCCTTTCTGAATCTATTGTAGGAATGTTCACAACTATAATCGGAAAGTTGTTTGGTCAAGGAAACATGTATGAGAATAAGAGACTTTTGACCTTTTTGAATGGTCGATCAATATTCATATTCACATGGTAATTCATTGACAGGAATCTGAGGTTTTCTTTTCATTGTGACATTCTCTTGTAACTTTGTTATCTTCTGGAGTTTTCAATGCTGTTTAATGCATTTTCAATGTAACAAGCTTGAGATTTTCCCTTGGAATGGCCACTCAATGGATTGATGTTTAACAATTTAAGAGAGCAAATATTTACTTGTCTTTTCCCACAGTCTAATCATGAAAGGTTCCCAATCAGGTACATCACCAATATCACCAATAATGTATGGTGAAGGTCGTTTCTCTGAAGATGACTTTAACCATTTTCTCAAATCATTTGGATCATAAGTAAATTTAAAGTTAATTGGTTGGTGGCGAATGGGCAAGTGCGCAAGTAAAATTCCAGTTATGAATAAATCATCAATCCAAATGAAGGGTTTAACGGAAGTTGCAATATTATAAACATCTTGGATAACATCAGGTGTTACAAAATAACCAATGCCAGAGCAATAAGCAGGTAAAACATCATACGGATATTCATTATGAGATAACCTCCATTTGCCTTTTCGTTTAACTGAAATACCAGCAGGAAACAGGGAGCAGCTAATTATGCCTGTTGGTGGTTGACCATTGGACGAGTGGAAGGTTGATTTGAGGAAGCCAACAACACGAAAAATATCAACATAAGCATCATCATCAATCTTCATGACGAATTTGGCGCCACGGCAAAAGGTTAAAACCCATTTGTAGCCCATCAAGTGTTTGTACGTTAAATTAGCATAGGTGTCTGCAAAGTTGCCTTGAACCAGGTCACCAAATTGACTCGATTCAGAATCAATTGAGGACTGTAAAGACGATGAATTAGTTAAACCAAGAAGAAAGATAACCTTTATTCCAAGAAGATGTTGAACATGACGAGAAGCCCAAGTTGATCGGATAATGCGTCTTTTATCAAAATTTAATGGAGCAGAATGAACAAACGCTAATAGGTTAATTTCATTTGATGATGAATCTGGTGTTGATAAGTTGCTTGATGGTGAACATTTGAGGGGACAATTTTTGATAAAAGTAAAATCATCCATATCCAGTAACCTGGAAAGATTATTTCTGTCTGGATCATCTTCATCAACTTTATAAGCAGCTCGTGGAAAGATTTTTTTCACTTTGAAAGGTTTAATTTTCTTTTTTCTTTCACTTAATCCAGTTGAGTTATTTGAGAGAAAAGTTTCTTCATAATCAAAATTGGACGTCTTCTCGAGAGTCACTTTACTATAAAGATACACAAATGATAAACTAATTGTTGCCACCATCAAAGGATAGAATCGTCGAACCCAGCGGTTCATTATGGGTCTCGACGGTTACAGTTGCCGAAGTTTATCACAGTAAAACATTCGAGTGAACCAAGCGATTGGAAATTCCATAAAAATAGAATCATTCTGGATCAGGTTAAGTTGAGGGAGAAATTGTAGTGGAAGAGTAACATTGGGTCAAAAGTGTAAAACCTAAAGAAGATCCAGGTTTACTTTTTGAAAGTTTACACAATTGAACACTGCCATGAGTACCATTTAACCACATAGTTATAGATGAATTCTCATGACCATCATCAGGTTCAAATTTAATTGTTACTCATGATAACATGAAGAATGAAATGTTCACAAAAATTAGATGGAATAACGGTTTACTCCGGAAGAATCATCATCATACTAAATGATCACGAGGACCGTACCAAGTTACCAAAATGATAAGAGAACCCGTTTTTTTCTGGAAAAGATGAAAAGAGAGAAAAGTTAGACTGAGAAATGTAAGAGAGGGAGGCTGAGGGAAGATGAAAAATCAAGGTGATGATCAAGTTGAAACAGTAATGAGAATTGAGCGTGCTGACCACTGAATCTTGAGGTAGCTCAGTTACCACGGAGGGAGAAAAGCGAGAGACAAGTAGAAACTACACTTTTTTTCTGTACCATCTTCATTATCATCATCATGATCGGAATAACAATTACATAAAAGTGAATCAAGGCTTTTTTTAACTGTTGCAACTTAAGAAGAGTAAAGTGAATGAAAAAAAGTAAGGAAGTAGATGAATATGATTAAAATTATTCTACAATCAGAAATTTTAGCGCTAATATTGTAATAATATTGAGGAAATTTGGTTAGATTTCAATTTGTTTCATTGAAAATGGTTGAAATTGGTAAAAGAGTATAAGGTAATGGATTTCTCGGGTTACTTATAATTGAGATAATTACCATTTCATATGACTGACCTCTAAATACACAAATGATTATCATAATGGTGAAACTAAATAATTGGACTAGCTCTACTTTTAACATCTGACATTTTCAAAATTGATATGACAACGATCACATGTCGATAAACTCGAGTAATGGAAATTTTTTGACAATTTTTCTCGAGAAAAATTCCCTTCTGGTAGCTTACCTTGAAAGATTACAGATGGCAGATGACGGGAAATGATTGAAGTGATGAAACAATGATTTTATCAACTGCTGATCCAATGAATTGAAATGATTTTGAAATGTATGACATAAGGTTTATTACATAATCCAGTGTATAAATAGAGCGAGTTAACAGGTTGACGTTGAACACACTGTGTAAAAATGCAAAAGTTGAATGAGACACTGTTAGACAATTTTGTCAGTTTTGAATGCAAACAATGGTTAAATATTAATTAAGACTAACACTTGTGGTGTCTTGCTGATCCCTAATGGTTAAGAAGGATCGTCATCTTTAAATAGAGCTCATCTCACCGATAAAAACAGATACTGAAGTTTTCATTTCTTAAAACACTCAAATCAAGTTTGACTGAAGCAAGGAGTGACTATGAAGCCAGGCGGGAAAGGTGGCAACAAACAACGCCATCTATAACAGATAAAGATTATAACGAATGAGATTTACAACTAAAATAAAGGTTTTTTTAAGTTTGATCATTTTGAAGTAAATCATGTTCAATATTTTTGTTTGTCCCAATTAAATCAATTTGAAAATAATTTTCTCTCGATAACAATCTTTACATGATAAATTGATTGTAAGAGAAGGTAAGAAATAGAAATTTAAATTATCTGTTTCATTGTAAAAATTGTTGTTACAATAAGAAAAAGAAAAGATGAATTAATGTTTGAAGCAAATAAATTACAACCTTTGCAATACTAATCTATGGGAAAAAATCGTTACTTTTCTCACGAAATATTTAACAATTTAAATTATTGATTATCATATTTAAAAGTTCAATTCACCTTTTGTTACCAAAAACTGTTTTAAGCAGACAATTTAAGCCAAAAAGGTAAAGAAACAAGGTAAACAGAAATGATAATGAAGTTGAATACAGAGAATTGTTATCAATCAAAAACAAAAACATTTTCAACCTTTTGTTCAAATCACAACCAACTGGAACCTGGTGTAAACACTTAACAGCAATTAAATTAATATTTTTGTCAAGCCATGAGAATACGAGAGTACAAAAAGATGTACAAAATGTTGTTGATTATCTTGGTAATTATGTGAAGTAAACCAGTTTTATTTAAACGAGAATCACAATGAAATAAGCTGAAAATGATATCTTGAACCAGCTATAGATGTGATTGAAATGGTTATTAAAACAATCAGGTTTTGGCAAAAGTACCAAGTTAACAATTTAAAGGCAAACTCAGTGAAAACAAATGCAATCAATAAATTGTGAAATGAGCAAACAAGTGAAAAATAACCATCAAAATCAATGCCACTTTCAAATCACTTGAAAATACATTGATAAACGGCAAGTTAGGCAGGTATTTGAACAGAGCAAGTTGCAAGTCAAGTTGTAAAAACATGCATTAGATGTACGTTTAAACGGCCAACAAATTGGCCATTTAATGAGTAAATATTGTGAATAAATCAATGAATAAACACAATGTTATGAAAACATTTTACATTATTACGAGAAAAGATTCAAGAATCTTTTTCTCATTCAATTTTATATTGCAATTGAGTCAATTGATGAGTACATTGTTTGCTAATTTTGAAGACCATTAGTTTTACATATTAATACACTGAGTTATCGTTGGATTGTATTTTAAAGGCGATTGATTAAAATTAAAAGCTAAATGCTATTATTTATGACCAATTGATTAAGTTTGTGAAAAACCAACAAACGTCTATAAAATCATGTTGAGTTTCTTTGTATTTTAAGACAATTGGGTTCAGGTTGGAAGGTTAACCAGATTGTTATTGATTAGTTAACCTTTTCAATAAAAGACTCAATAAATATGATAACAATTGAATGAATTGCAAGAGGAAAATGAGAGAAAAAACAAGTTTAATTAAATGTGTGTGAAAATTGTGAAATGAACAATTAATTAAAAGGAAAAATTGAATCGTTCATTTCACAAATTCATATAATTTGGGAAACAATGAGTTGATCATTGGATCATTAATCATTAAACTGGAAACAATCAATTGTATCATGGTTCATCTTTACCATTCTGGCATCAATTAGGAAAAAATCAAAGGTAAAAACAAAAGGTAAAAATGGTTTTTACTTTCAGTTGGTCTTTGTGAAGTCAATCTAAATGTTTGACTAAAATTTTCTTATTTCGGGTCATTTCAGGTCATTTCACATAAATTACTGAGGTTCAGTTGGGGCTCTTTGAGGCTCTATTTAAGGCTCTGAGCCTCTAGTCGAAACAGTAAAAGTAAAGTTGATTAGAAGCGCAATTTGATTGTTTCAATGATGGGTTGTTGACTTTGCTTTTACTGTCAACTTTGACTTCTCGTTGGTCCATCATTTTTTGCTCATCAAATCACTTCCTAATCATTTGTTGACAATCAGTGTTTCTCCATGTTTTTACTCAACATTCTGTTACTTGGTGTAATCACGCTCATTTCTCATCACCAGAAGTTCAGTTTATCCTATGTTTACCTTTTGTCACAATTCATTGGTTTCTTTGATTAACTTTTTTTTCCTTCATTTGTCATCACTTGGCAACAGATTGTATTCGTGTTTCTTTTTTGTCCATCAACTTGTACTCACTGAGCGTCAAACAGTTATGATTCGCATGATTGCCCGTTAACTGGACAAATGATTGCCGATAGAAACAGATCTTTGACATTAGGAAAACAACGGTTCAACGAATGTCTACTTGTAATCACTTTGTATCTTTAACCATTCCTTTGATCATCTTGCATCAACTTTCACCAATCAACCAAATCAACTCTCAACTCTGAGAGGGAAAATTTAAAAACTTTATTTTGCGTCAGATTAAAAGGAAACTCAACAGCTTATCATACAGCTTAAACAAATCAAGCTAATCATATTCATAATCGAGATCAGGTTAATAACTCTGAGTTTTACTGTTGATTTGCTTGAATTATGCCTTTAAATATCAGTTATACTATTAAGAAATCTGTTAGCTCACCAGTTGCAACCTTTTTTTCCCTGAAATAATATTTATGCATTAGATAGCGGAGAAAAGTTCATTTTTATTGCATTTAATTTCTCTATGGGCCATTAAATTTCCATCTTTTTTTTACAATCATCACCGTTCTCATCATTACCACCATCTCAATTGACTTAAAACCCTTTAACAATTCTGTAAGTAAATAAAGGTTGATGACATGAGGAAGGCAATTCAACAGAATCCTCTTCTAAGAAGTTAATCTTCATTTTAATGTCTTCATAAGTAAGACAAACTCAAAATTCAAATCTTTTTTTCCAGGAAAAGCTTGCAATCAAAATCAATTTTTTGGCTTAAAATCAGTTTTCAATTAAATTTCTAAAAAGGCCAAATAACCAGTTGACTAAGATAACCATTTGCCAACAGTTGAGCTTGAAAAAGGTTGGTGAAATGAACAAGTTTGTCAGAAAATTTTCATCTTTTCTGCTTTTCCCTGAGCAAGTAGGAAATGATTGGCACTGGCGATTCCCAGTAAGACATATGCTAACAGTTTATTGAAATTAACCTGAAACAATTGCCTTAAATAGACGAATCGCTTCCGACAAGAAAAATCAACAATTTGGAGAATCAAAAGCTAATTGAAAACGTGAATGAATTCAAATAAATTGTTGAAGTTAATAGTAATTTGAATTAGATTTTGTTGATGAATAGACGAAAGTAATGATGCTATTAATAAAATTGTTGTCATGAATGCATAACTTGTCTGAATTTTCTCGGCAAAATTTCAAGTTCTAAAAATAAACTGATTTATTTTGATAATTTACCGAGTCTTTTATATTTTTTTGTTCAAATGATGATGATGCTGATGATAGGAATAATAGTGAAAGGTGAGATGTCGTGAGTTAATTTCAGAGAGAATGAAGTGATTAACAATTCAATCATATTTGAGAGGTTCATCAGTCATGATAAAGTGAAAAGATGAAGATGAAAGATTTAGAGTGAGTCAAGAAAAGTTTCCTCATGATGATGATGTAGGGTGCGATGAACAATGTCAGGGTCAACATTGAAAAAGTAAATGAGTTTCATAAGTTAATGATTATTACTACCATTTCAAGTTTTCACTTTAATAGTGATTGCTATTTAATAATAAGCTTAGGATTTGTAATGAAATACATCCTATTACAAAAATTATCTCCGCATTACCAAGTGTCAATTCAATTTGTTCAGAAATGAAGTGAATTGGAAGGCAAAGAAGTTTCAAGAAAAATCTTTGGTTTACAAGAACTGAATGTGAATCAAGTTCACCTGAATTTTATGATGGCAATTAATTGAGTGATGAAATTGCTCGATGAAAGTATTACGTTGACATTGTAATTGCATATCATTGATCGCTTATAAAATTGAAAGCACAACTTGAAACTTCAACTGTTGACTGTTGATTCAATTGCCTTTCATTCCTCAAATATCAATGATTTTAAATACAGAAAATAACAAAAGAGATAAAATTTCAAATGAAAATGCTTCGAGCTGAATAGTTCAGAGAAATATCATCAATTGAATCATTGAATCTCTTTGAAATGATTTATAAGTATAATAATAGCAAAGTAGAGGAAACAAAATTGAAAAGGTAAGGTTAGCACATTGAGTAATGTTGCGATGCTATATCATTGTAATGGTTGGAACCTTGAAAAAGAGTGAAAAATAAGGTAAAATAAGGTAAAATAAGAAACACAATTTAAATGATAATATGTTAATGGGCGAAATGATTAATATTTTGGAGAGAAAAGAAGTGAAAAAATCTATTTTTATTGTAAATGAATAAGATTTTTAAAGGAATAATTATTCAGTTTTACTTGAAAGGTTCATGATAAATGTTTTTAAACGAACAGATTGAAAGGTGGAAATAAGGAAAATTAATAATACACTCTAGATTACAGATTCATATATTTCAATTGTATTTCAATACAATTGAAATTGAATCTTGAGATGGTCAATGGATCAAAAATGGAAGTCAAAATAGGATTCAATTTTGACTGAACATGAAGCTTAAGTAACTCAAGATTGGCGACTGAAATTGAATGGAAAGGTAATCTTGAAATGAGTTGAATAACAAGTGCTACAGTCTTTTTGCTAAGTGGTATAGATATCAAGATAATGGTCAATTAACATAGAGAAAGGTTAAACATTAATATTTAAAAGGTGAGCAACGTTCAAATAATGAGAAGTTGATTGTGGAGAGAGTTAAAGAAATGTTTAAATGTGATCATGATAATGATGATTGAAGGAGAAAAGGCCAAAAAAATGAAGAAGCTACAGTTGAGGCCAAGATGGTAGAGAAGATGAGAATGATAAAGGGAAAAGTTGCTTTTGCAAACTCTGAAAAAAACAAGATATGCTGGTCTAATTGCAATAAACATGGAGATTTTTTTCTGTTTGACAAGCATGAAAATTTTATACCTATTGAGATTCATTAATGGTGCGGGCTGAAAATGCAACGAAGCGAATCGAAAATGGGAGAAGATAGCAAAAAGGTTGAAATCCTCTTAATTAGCATCTAACATGTCAATTAAATCGTCTCATCACGTTTACATATACATGGAAGACTCAAGACGAGATAAAAGCCTAGATTATGCAAAAACAGGTAAAAAGGCGAAGAAAAAGTTTACCAAATATTAGAATTTCACTTTTTTATTTTCTTCAAACGCTTTTTTCATCTTTTTTTTTTGCTATCTATTGGTATGTTTCAAGATGATGAATAGAGTTAATTGAAGCTAAAAAAGATTAATTGTATTTATATTAACATTAGCATGTAATTTGCATCATCATTAGCAATTTGACAGTTTACTTAGTTCTAGTGTTGACAATGAGTTTACTTTAATCAACATTAATGGCAAGAGTTGGCTTACCTTGCGGTTTGTCGCTTAAGCTTGGTGTTGTTGGTATTACCAAATTACTCGTCGATCTTTACACGAGTAATGTACAAGATCACCATTAGGATAACGTAGGAAGGCACTGGAATGAAAAGAGGAGTTTCCATTAATAGAAGTGTTTATTAAGTAATTAAGAGAAAGATAATGACGTTTATTGTTCATTAAATATTCATTTTTTGTATAATGACTTAATCAACAAGTAATGAAAGTAAAGACAAACCTGGTTCCAATGCGTTTTTGACACTCTTTACAACGATCTGAATCTTCGACTATAATTTTGTACTCTTGGTGAAGCTTGAGACGAGCTTGTTGGACGGCCAAGTGTTGAGTTAACAGTAAATTTCGATACATAAGGCCATCATGACGTTCTTTGATTAGGTTTATAGTAGCAGTTTCCAGGAAGGTTCGGATCGATGAGATATAAATGATTGAAGGTAAAATGTCTAAAGCACGAATTGGATCAATTTTGATTGCGTGAGCTTTCAATAGGCGCAAGGCTTCATTCAAATTTTGTTGATAAATGTCAGCCGTCATTTCATAGTGCCATGCAACGGCTGAGTTAATTGAATTTGCTTCGGACGGTTGAGTAACATATAACTTCAATAGAATCAGGAAAACCTAAGAAAGATATAAAAATGAAAAGAATCTTTTATTAATGGAAATGAAAAATTCAAAATTTATGTTGATTGTTAATTATTCAATAGTCTATTTTTGCATTTTTGTGCATTTGTTAACTTGTCCATGAAAAAAGTAGATTCAATTGAATCTTAAATAGTAAATTTTTCAATTTAATTTGCATTGTGATTAATCTTCAACTTTGACAGTTTTATTTTGTTTCACTTTACCATGTCAGTGGATAAGTTTACCTTTAGCTGTATATTGCTTTTATTTTGCCTTTCATTTCATTTCAACTGACATTTCAGGGATAATATTATTTTATATCAAAATGTGGTTCCTGTCAATCTTGAAATGTTTGAAAACCTGACTTTTTCTCGTATATTTTCAATATTATCTTGAGTCGGAAGATTTGGATATTTTCCTCTATATCTTGGTAAAGATGGTAAGTAATCAAACTTACAAAGGTAATCTGAATAATAAAATCATTGGTTACTAACCAGTTGCTGGATTTTTCAATGTACAATAAAAATGAAAAGGTTTACTACAAGAGAAACTATTTATACTTTAATTATCATGGAACATGATTAATTAAATAGCTCTCATACTCTAATGATGCTTCGATTTATGATCGTTTGATTGAAGTTGCTAGGAAAGGAGTGATGATTGGAAATTAGCTTTGAATGTAGCTAGGATTGAAGTAGCAACAAGATAATTTGATTTATTTAAAGAAGCAAATATTATGATCAAAGTACCCTTAATCAAAACTGCTCCCAATAATAAATTGTTGGATGTAGGGAGAGAGAGAGAGATATTTTCAACGTAGGCTGAGGTTAATGAGTTGATTTGATAGAGGTTGAAATATTGGAATAAAGAGGTTTGAATGAAATTTAAAAATTGATCTTCCAATACTTACATCTTTATTATTGGGATTGTCTTTGTTGTAAGTTTTAATGCAATATTGTTCAGCCTTTTCGTAGTCATGAAGGTATTGAGCGTAAATTGCCAAAGCGTCTTTATGATTACCCATTTTACCCGAAACTATTGCTCTTTCTTCCCAAAGTTCATCGTTAAGCAAAAAAATGGACAAGGTTTCAGTGGAATAATTGTTTGATGTTTCCAAAAAGGTTAACAATTTTCTCCTAGTATCTCCAAGATCTCCGGGTTCTTGTCCGGCAGGTAAGGGAAGTTGCCCTTCAGGTAAAGATACCAAGTATTCCTCTCTTAAAGCTTTCACTTTTTCACGGTATTTATTGGCTAAAATGTTGTGAAACATTGCAGTTTTATCTTTCCAAATTGAAATGATATGCTCAAGATATGGGATAATAAGATCAGGACAAATTTTTTGTAAATATTCAAGAACAGCTTCACGGGGAAGAGCCTCTGTTTCAGCAGTATCTTCAGTAAATATACGTAATCCATCAGTGGGATGATCTTTAAGTACCCATTCAGAATATTCAAAGATTAAATTTAAACTTGTCTCTCCCAAATGTTGAAGATATTGAATTGTTCTTTCATGGCCAGGCAATGATGAGTTTGGCTGTTTGGCTTGAGCAAAAAGTAAATCTAAGGCTTTACGGTGGAGTCCACGAGTTTGATAAAAAATAATCAAATCACCATATTTGTGGTATTTTTTCAACCATGTTTCACTTTCTTGTAGATGACAATGGTTGTCTGGTAGGCGAACCAATGAAGAGACTAGAGCATCATTAGTTTGTAAGTAACACTTAAGTAAAGTTGTGTCCACAATTTCCAATAATTTGTCACGAGATTTGAGATATTGCTTGAAAGATGGTGACGAATTTGTTGATGATTCAGAGATATTTGAAGAGATTGGATGATTTATGGGTTTGTTGGTGTTATAGCCTGGTGGAGAATTTTCAGTGTCTTCGTTGAGCTTTTGAAGTTTTTTCTTGAACTCGAGAAGATAATCAATCAAGGCAAATATGCCTGCTTCAAAGTCAGCTCCTTTGAAAACAGGAGGCTCATGTGGATACTCGAGCTCATTACGAAAATCCTCCGGGAGAAAACCAGGGAAGAAACCAATTACAAGGGATGGATGAGTTTCCAATTTGAGAAATAGATCCATAGCTTTAACGAATTCCTTTTTACAAAAATAATCAAAAGCTTGGAGATTTTCAATTTGAGAAATTATCATCTCTTTGCGTTTCACTGATTCTGATGCATCAGAATCAAAATCTGGGGACATGTACACCAATTGTTTAGCCAAGTCAAACTCTTTACTTTGAATCAATTGAGAAGTTTGCTGGTCAATTGGACGAGCAACTAGACAATATAAATCTTTATTTGAGCAGACAAACAAGAATCCTTTCTTGTCTCCACATTTAAAAAGGTGCTTTAGCTTTCCAGTTGTGGTACTGGCAAGTTCATCAATTTTTTGAATCAATAGTCGAGGATCAGCTGTGCGTATTTCCATCATGTTGTTTGGTAAAAGAGCAATTAAATAGGGTGAATCTTCAACCATTGCAATGGGACAATCAGACCAGGTTACTGGACATTTGAGGATAGGTTTAGCAACTTGATCCAGAAAGAATGTTTTCTCATCAATTCCAACAGCAAATCGATCACCCTCTAGAGATGTCACAATTGGTTCCGGGTATTTTCCGAGAGGAAAAAGTTCTGTTTTATTTCCTGAAACTGATATCATACAGTATTCATTGCGAAAACCAACACAAAGTGATTCAGAGCACCAAGCAATTACTTTGGGTGTATCAGGAACGTTTATATCTGGAGCTAGCTCTAAAAATTTGTCGTTTTTCCAATAGAAAAACATGAGTTTTCTTTTGACGACAACGCACAATCTTAATGTGTATTGAATGTCTCCTAAAGCATAGAATGAAAGAATAAATAAAAATTAAACTATAAGATAATGATAAAGGGAGGCAAACAAAAAAGGTCATGCTATCAAAGTGTTTTCTATCATTTATCTAGTAATCATCAATCAAATTTTCAACCCACCAGTTAATGTTTGAAGTTTTTGTACATTTATAACAAAGAGGGTGGCTCCTTTGGTCTTTTGCAAGCATGATATTAATGGTGAAACGACTTTATCTAGATCATGAACATTGATGAGATTGTCATAAAGGCTGATAATCAAATGAAATTCGGGAACACCAGCAACTTGGATGATCGGTTTTTTTGTAAAGGCCTTGTTGGATCGCAATAGTTGCACATCAAACTTGAGCTCTAAAAAATCACAAAATAAGGAAAATTGAATAAGTATCCGATTAAAACACAAGTATACAAAGTGCTTAATTGATTAACTTGACAAATTTACCTTTGGTTGGTTTAAGGACCAGTTTAAACAATAAAAGGTTACCCTGTTTGGTTCCAACAAGTAGATGATCTCCATAAGCATGCATACATTCAATGTCCAAAGGATAATTTTTAAGAATAGGAGCTACTCGATAGATTTCCAACATAATAATTGACCAGATTAAACAAATAGGTAAAAAAATTAACAGAAAAACGTTCAGATAATTCAATAATTAAACACATTGATTAAAAACAAAAAAGGAAAGTAGTTTTTTCAATCAAAACAATTTTCCCTTTCATTGGCAGAAAAATTATACTATGACAACAAATAGCTAACTCCATCTAGAGATTGGCAAACAAACAACTGAAAGGCAATTGAATCAAAATCTCAAAACTTGTCAACTAAATACTGAATCGATTCAAAGCTTGAAATTAATCAAGAGAAATAATTTAATTTAATTGTGACTAAACTTGACATTACATTGAACATATTTATAGATGCCATTGGAAGAAGGTTCATGAGAAGAGTTAAGATGATCTCTAATAGCTATAAAGATGACATGGACGGTTAATCAACAGATAGCTTTAGTTTTAAATTAATGAAATCATAATAAGTTGATTGGTGTTGAAGTTTTTCAAGTAATCGTGTGCATGAAAGTTGAATGAGTTAATTTAACGTTAATTTGTGATCAATTGTCATTATTGAAGAGCATAAATCAACATTTTTCAGGGTTACAATATTGGAGGAACTGGCAAGCAGACAAACAATTATAACATTATAATCAATTAATAGCACAAAACAAATGCAACTGTGATTTATGAAAGTTAATAGCCGTCCTCTTTAATAAAATACTGAATCATAACTAGCCTAATAGTCAACCATTTCATTGTGTCTAGATTGATTCAACAAAAGTTCAATTTTATCTGAAATGATGAAAAAATTGGCAACAATTTTCAGTAAGTCATTAATAAATGAAACCTGATTCAATTACACAAATGTATCTTATATTTTCATCAATTACAGCTGCCTTCATGTTAACCTGGCAAACAGTGAACTGTCAATATTATCCATATAACAACCCTCCAATCCCTCAACCTTTCCAACCTTACCAACCATATCAACCTTATCAACCTTATCCACCTTACCCACCTTACCCGAATCCACAGAGTTACCCTTATAACCCTTATAATCCTTATAACCCGAATCCACCGAATTACCCGATAATTCCACCAAATACTTATCCAACAAACCCGAACTTCCAAGTTTATCCCAATAACGGTAAGGATAAACTGGCTGATTGAATAAGCTCAACAAACTTATTTTCATTTCCAAAGGATATTGTGCTCCATTGAGTCCTCCAGCTAACGGATTTTTGACTTCGTTTTGTGGCAACACTTATGGCAGCTCATGTACTTTTGCTTGTTCAGCTGGTTATACTTTGTCTGGACAAGCAACAGTCACTTGTTTGGGTAACAATTGGTCAGCAACTAGACCCACTTGTGCTGCATCCAGCACTTCAAGTGAGTATTTTGGTTTTTGGGTTTTGGGTTTACCAGAAAAACTGTAATTTCACTTCTATGTGAAGCTCTTCTCGAATCTGTGTCGATCAAATTTCATAGAAATGGATCGGAAATTGAATTACAAGAATCCTTCATTCGGGATGATTTTCGTTCTTTAAAAATTATTTATTCATTGGTTAAAATTCAAATTTATTCATTTCATTTTATCAGTAATCATAAACAAAGTAAGAATAATGAAAAGATTTTTATTTCATTTCGTTTCAGATATCATTGGATACTGGGCCGTTCCAAACAGGTGAGTAAAACGATAAATCTGACAAAACTCAGAAAGGCTGACAATCAATTACTCAGAAAAGGAAAACAATGAAAATCGTTATTGTATGAACATCAAATTTAACTGTTCAATTCAAGTTACCCATTTGCAGGGTCAGCTGCACAATGCGAGAAATGAATTCATGATCCTAGGATTGGTTCGCAGCCAATATACGTAGATATTCATTGATAAAAATGTTTCAACGTTTTAAATTTTAAATTCATATTCTAATAAATGTTCAAATTGATGAAATTCACTCTTCTCAACAGAGGATGATAGCCTTTAGCCATTTCTGGTGCAGTCATTTGGTGGTTACATTTACCCATTGAGACAATAATTCAGACAAAACTTGGAAAATATGCAACACTCAGGATTTCATTCATCATTATAATCTCAATCTAACCTAATAAAGATTTGTGTTGTTCAATGCAGCCCTCATTTTCCATGAAAAACTCAAATTCTTGGCCAATAATTTATAATTTAACAATTTAAATTTCATTTTGAGAAATTTTCTCTTTCTGCAAAACAGATTAGTTCGATTTTCAGTTAAACCGATTGCTTTCTGTGATCGTAAGAATTAGCGAGCTGAAACTTATTATCCGTCCATAAAAATTGTTGGCTCACATCATGGATCAAATAACTTTATCCATTCATCGACAGTTCTCTTGATTTTGGCCATTGGTCTTAAAACTTCGAGCTTCAGTATTCCGGGAATGGTATCAACTACAATCACCATCATTTGAACACATCCTTCTGAAATTGAAGTGCCATTTCTTTGGTCAAATCCGTCATGATGCAGAATTCCGTAATCAGGAGAATGTCTTTTTTTCTCCTCTTTAACTTTTTTTTCTGTCGGCTGAGCCAAAAACGCTAGTCAGGTTCTCGCCAGGTTAACCCGTTCGGTTTCACCAGAACCTTGACGTAAAATTTGATGCATTGATTTGATACATTGTATAGAGTGAATCTTCATTATTCAATAAAATACGCTTAAACAACTATCAATAGTCTTTAACCATTTATTAATATTAACCCAAATTACAGCTTACAAAGCTTACATTTAGTGACAAACCTCGATTCATCCTTTGAGTAGTTCGTTACTTGCACGACTTTGGTATCTAATTGGAATGATAATGAACGTTTAAAACAATTGCCTCTTCTTTTACCATTTAAATCAGATCAATGTTCATTTTATCAGTTTCCATGGATTTGTTGAGTGAGAAGAGATAATCCGATGAGGGAAAGTTAATTGCATTTGCTTGCTTTAATTACTGTCATGTTGTTCGCGTATTATCTTTAATTGTTCAACATGGATGAATCGGGAAACTCCAAGTCAAAAGATTCCAAATTTCACTTCATTTCTCGTCTCAAACCAGTTCCAGGAATCGGAATCTTATTCGCTACATTATCGGGAATTTTATTCGCCATAAGCACATCGATGGTTAAATATTTGGACAAAATCAATCCATTTGAGATTCTCTTTTTCAGGTAAGTCATTATACTATACAAAGTGAGCTTAATGATTGTCATTACCGTAATTGAACGGAATTAAACGCGCACAAAACACAAAACAAGTTAAATGCCGAGTCTAAATCAAAATCTTTAGTTTGTCAAATCCGTTTAATGACATTGGATAAGTAATGTCATCAAACAATTTACAACCTTTGAGCACTTGAAGTGCCATTCAAGAAACAATTGCAGGTTTAATTGCTCAATTGTTGTCTCCTGCCTTTGTATCTGCCTAACATGATCGAGTGAAGATACAAAGTATTGTTTACATTCTTATGCTATTGTAATAAAACAATTGAAATTAGCAATTTTCACAGTTTCATTGATTTTTTATTGCATTTGCAACTCAATCATTAGAGTTTAGTTATAGCAAGAAGAATGAATATCAACCAGTGAAATTAATTTCCATGCATCCATTAAGGATGATAGAATTGCATTAAGAAGTTCACTTTGCAAATAAAGTTCCAGTCAATAAACCAGTTAATTGATTTAACAATTATCCTTTTCTTCCAGCATGAAATATCATAGATTGATGAACTTTAACGCTTCTTTGTATCTCACAGTACATTCAGGTTCATATTTAATAGATTGAATATGACTAAATATTTCATGTATTATCGCGCTCTATCTGGTAGACTCAAGAAGCTTTTGCCGTCAGTTTTCGGGTTCAATTGGCCGAGAAACTTAATCTTAGACTGAAGACGAAGACGTCAAATTTTATGACAGTAAAAAGGACAGAGTTACAGATGCTCTATTAAACGGGACTTTGAAAAAAGGCTTTCATAAACATTGACAGGCGAAAGGCTAGTAAAGTCTTTATTGCAATAAGTTTGACCTCATCACAGAAGAGTTTTACAATAGAATCTCATGACTCTGAACGTATAATGCTCATATCAATAGATGGAGACAGTTAATCTGTGGATTCATTTCCCTGAATCAATTACTTCAATAGTAAATGGAATCTTTTCATGCAATGTTCCAGAGCTCAAACAATTGGGTTAATATCGATTGGAAATGTATTTTTAACTTTAATTGAAAAAGATTGAAAAACTTTATTTCAAGATTACTCGACTATTGCCATTTAAAGCAACAATTTGTTCAAGTTTTTCATACTCCAACTCATTTTTTAGTCTTCACCCTGAAGTGTTGAGTGAATTCGACTTTTAAACAATTTCTATTTCAGTAGATTCTCTTTACAATTTTTATTCATATTAAATTGAAACCAATTGTTGAACCAAATAAAAGCAATTTTGTTAACCTTGCAGATCTGCCGTTCAACTGGTTATCTATTTACTACTCATCTTGTACAAACGAGACAACATTAAAGGCAGTCGAGATGAGAGGCTCTGGATGTTGATTGATAACCTGATTGGCTTCGCCTTCTTGGGTTTGGGTTATGTAGCCATTCGCCTCATATCACTCGGCGATTCATCAGCCATCATCTTTTCATCATCCGTTTATGCTTCCATCTTTGCTCGCTTCATCCTAGCTGAACCTTGCAACATCATCAGCATACTTTGCATACTCATCGTCATCTCAGGAGTCTTTTTGATCTCTCGACCAACCTTCCTATTTGGCACAACTCACTACTCTTATTCATCCTTTGATCGAACCCTTGGTCTTGCCTTATCCCTAGCTGCCTCTCTATCTGCGGCTCTATACTACGTTCTGTTGAAAAGGATTCGCAAAACATCGACAACCGTTGCAATGTTTTGGTTCTCATCTACTGGTGCCCTCGGCTCTCTGGTCGTGCTTCTTATTCAAGGTCAATTCACAATCGCCTCAACCGCCAAGGAGTGGGTTCTACTCATAACGAATGGGTTCGTTGGGACTGCCGGCTTATTTTTACTTGGCTTTGCTCTTAAACTCGAAGACGCTGGACCCGTTTCGCTAGCTCGAACCATAGATATTGTTGGTGCCTTCATTATTCAAATAGCAGTCTTTCACGATCCAGCACCATGGACAAGCATTCTCGGTTCAGTAATCATAATCTTTGGGGTTGCCGTTTCAGTGATGAGAAACTACATTCTCAATAAAATGGCGAGAATCACGACAAAGTCAACATCCAATGAACCAAAAAACATGCAATTAGAAGCTGTAAACTCTTCCCAGCCAATATCGACAATAAGTTCCCAATAATCGAAATGTCACTGGAAAAGGAGAATGATTCCAATTCCATTTCAAAACTCATAATCGTAAATTAAAACAAAAGTGAAAACAGACAAAATTCAAACAAAAACATTCCCAAACTGAACTGTAAAAAGAAATAAACATTTCCAACAACATTTTTCATCCTTTGACTTTTAATGCCTTTTAATAAACCATAAAACAGACTAAAAGAAGATGAAAAAAACTTGATTTTACCAGAAAAAAAACTTTACTGGTTACTGATGACGAAAAATGGCACATTTTTTCGATGCTTGTAATGAGCAGTAAAAATGTTCAATTGATAATCATTCAACTCCCAACTGGGATTCAGTCTTTTACTGATAATTTAGTGGTTCTCAATGAAATGCTTGCTAAGCATAAAATAACAGTTTTTGTCTGAAGAATCGAGAAAAAAAAGAAACAAATTTTTCTCCCATCAACTTTTTTTTCTTTTCCAATTTCCAATGTTATTGAAACATTTTCATCTCTTTTACCCTCCAACTGTTTCAACTGATTCCCTATTAGCTTGTCATCTCTGAATTTCATGAAAACTAAAAGTGCTGATCATCAAGAGTGAAAATGAATGGCACTTGACTTTACGTTTAAATTGCAGATTAAAATGAAATTGTAAAAGCAACTTTAATTTCTCGAACATTTACATTAGCTGATTCCTAAATTGTTTAATCAATTGTCTCGATGTAATTGACTCTCAATCTTTACACTCAACAAATTAACTCTTTGAGTTGTCAAATTGTTGCAAACAAATCGAATCAATGAGAATTGAGATTTATCTGTTGACTTTTTGCTTTGTTCAACATTCACAAAGCTTTTGCATTGGTAAGCAAATGTAAAGTTAATAATGTTGTTGAAGGAAAAAGATTCAACTAAATTGTCACTTTTCAACAAATTAACAAATTGCTTTGGAATAAAAAAGAAAAGAAGATTTCGAAATGTTTTATAACTGCGATTTATTAGCCATGCAAACACCCAGAACTGGTTCCATGGTTTAACCAGTCAAGTCTATTAATTCAATGAGTTGATTCGAAACACTTTATCACTGAAAGTTCAAAGATGCATGTCACTGGTAAACCAATAAACATCAATAAATCAAAAGGAACCAAATCGATGATTGCAAGTCGAACTTTTTTCTCTCAATTGCAACCTAGCAAAGTGAATGTCCAAAGTTGAAACTCAATGTTGGATCATAACTTTTAGGTGCTTTTCTCGTTCTTTTTTCAGGAAAAAATCTTTTCTTTCAACAGAAAGGGCAATATTTTACAGAAAAGTATTGAGATGAGAAAATGATGACTGGGAGGGAAAATGATAACCTCGATGTGTGATGTTATTGAAACGAGATTAAAGACAAAAGTCGAAATTTTTGTACATTCAGAATGTTCCATTGATGCGCATGATTTTCATGATAAACATTCCCAAAGTTTCTTGTGAATCTTCATCTTCATCTTTTCCCTTCATTCACTTGTTCAATTTGACGTTATTATTTGAAAAGCTTTTCATGATGAATTTTTTCTTCTTTTTTCGCTTCAATTTTTCTCCTCATTTTCACATGAACATGGTTCATTGTAAACAAATTGTTCACACTTTTAATTAAACGAAATAATTCGATTCCTTCCAATCATTTTTCATCTCAAATTCAGTCTCAACTTAACTCAATTTCATCATTTGTGCTTCAATTGTGAGTTGACAATCAACAGTCAAGAAAAGATGAAAACTTTCGTTCTTACAAATGTGAACTTCATTCTGTTCAAATTAACTTTGCCTGATTACACGTTTCGTTTACCATGGTTATTCATCGAATCACTGGTTAAATGAACATTATTCAATCGATGGATTGAAATGAATTCAAAGTGTAAAGAAGATTAAAGTTTGATTGAAAATTTGTTATGAATTGAGAGAAGAAAAAGTTGCGTCTTTTTTCGTTTGCCTTACAATTCCTTCTGTTCCTTGCCTATTTCGATATGAATGAAACCATGATTAACATTTCTGTTCTTCGGGAAACCCTTGATTCAGTTAGGGATCATTCGGCCAATCAGGTGACCAATGTCAACTTTAACCAATTTGTTTCTTCGTTGAGAAGAGAATCCATTCTGGAGATTGTTTTATACTCATTGCTCTTTGTTTCTGGTGCCATTGGAAATTTATGGGTTTTCTTTAAGCAACGACAAAAGTGTCAACGCGATGCAAGGATCAACTATCTTCTTCGTCACCTCAACTATGCCGATATACTGGTCATCTTTGGTACCATTTTGATTGAGATCATTTGGAGGATCACAGTCTATTGGCATGGAGGTGAAATTTTGTGTAAACTTGTTCAAACCTTCAGGATATTTGGTGTCTACCTATCTTCCATCATGCTCATCTGTATTTCAGTTGATCGATACTTTGTTTTCGTCCATCCGTTAAGCTTCATCAATCGAGAGAAGCGCAAAAAGATACTGATCCATGCCTCGTACGTGGTCAGTGCAGTATCAGCTTTGCCTCAAGTAAGTTCAATCCAATGATCAGTAGAAGCTTGGAATCACTTTGTTAATCAAAATGCAGACTATTTACTCATAACGTGGCCCAATGGTAAGACAATAGTAAACATTGCTTAAAGGTAGACATTCAAATTCCAGTCTAGACGTGATAAAACCTCATTCACCCAACTCCCAATGCTAGAGTTTAGTCTTTCCATCCTAGACTCGGACAAAAATGCATTTAAAGTTTTTCAATGCTAGAAAGTGTCACGTCAAAGTGTCAATAATAAGCTATGTTTATCACGATTTGCAAACTTGACTGATGATCGAATCAATTGAAAGATTGAACGGACGAAAACTCTAATTAACTGCTTAACTAAACAACCGCAAATTAATTCAACCTTTTATTGTAAAGTTTAGAATTGGGTGAAAGAAGAAAACTTGAAAAGTGTTTTCTCTGCATTCAAACAGCAACCATGAGCCTTTCATAATAAATAAACATTTTCATTCAACTTTTGAAAGTCAAAGAAAAGTCGAAAATGAAATGCAATCATTTCTGATGAACCTCTAACAACTAACTGAAAGAATCGATTTTGAAGTCTTTGTTAAAGCTTTTGAATCTTGAATTTCGAATAAAGAAGGTAAAAATTTCTTTCTCTTCACCAAACGAAGTGATTAATAAGCATTTAAATGTTCTATTACATTGTAAATCCGAGAAAATCTGAAAGTCTCTTTTCATTTGTCTTGAAGCTCCTATTGGCTATGAAAATGAAATGTCATGCTTTGAATGTTGACAAGCGTCAAATGTATCACTTTTAATAAACTGAATAAACCATGAATCGAAAGGAAACTGACAAATTTATATTCAGCAAAATATTGTGACAAGTCATGGAATTGAAATTATTGCAAAATGTAATGATAATGAGAAACAATTTTACGCAATAAAACCTAATAATACATAAAAGATGATTAATAATTTGATGCAGCTTTTATAACAATTGATGGCCCAGATATTTGCCTTCATGTTTCATTCCGTTGTTCATTTGGTCAAAGAAGATATTCCCAGTTCATAGGCTTTCATTATAACATGGAACCAAAAATTGTTCATTCGCTTCTTTTTATTTCTTAATATAATAATACTGTTATCCTTTTCCTTTTACAATTGATAACTTTCATGGTTTGTCACCTTTTCATGGGTTTACCTTGAAAAGCGAGTTGCATTTGTATTCTGAAGTTAAACATTATTAATTTAGGTTCCAGGTTCCATGAAAGTTCTCTTAATTTTACGTTCCAATCCATTTCAATGTTTTGTCGCACAAAATTGACTTCATGTTCATAAACTTTGCTCTTGTTTAGTATTTCATTCACGACCCTTCAACTTATTCAATCAACAATTGACCGTAACAACGAGAAAAGAGCATTTAGAATTTCAAATTTCAATTCCTTTCCATTGCATGATATTACAATCAGTGAGAAAAGGACAATTTAAAGTGGAAAAAGCAGATTAAATAAAAGATCAGAAACCGCAAATTGACATGGATTTGTAGCAAATATTGAGACAGAATAAAGTTTCTCCTGAAAATGTAACCTTTGTTAGGATTAAATCAACTCTAGTCTTGAGTTGTAACTATTGTGTTCATATTTTGGAATCAGTTTTGTATCAATTCAGAGTATTGTTACAAGCTGTGAAATAATCCATTGATGTTCATCAAATTTTGAGTTAAATCTTGACTTTTGAAACTCTTCACTAATACTTTAATACTTTACTTTGCAATAAAAAGGTTGTTAAAATGGTGAAATCAATTTTAATCGCTGTTGTACCAATAATGTACCTTTCGTTCACATTGTTAAACTAGGATTTTAATGAAATCTAACGTCTTTTCCTGACGAAATAAGCAATCAAAAACTTAGACGACAAGCAAATATTGAGGTTCGATGTTATTATTGCTAAAAGGAGTTTACATAAACATCTTGTTATAATTAGTTCGTTGACGAAGTAAGAACTTATATAAAGGTTTTGGATAATGATGCTTGATCAAGTGTAAATAAATGTTTCAAAACACTAAATATAAACAGATTGAATGCTTTTGCATCAAAACAAACACGCAAACAAAGCTTCCCATAAGTCCGCAAAAACCGCAAACGAATTGTTAAACCTGGATATTTGGATTTCAATGCAATAGAAAGTCAAACAATCATTAGAGAGGTTCAGAGAGACCAATACTTGGCTCTTTCCCGTAAACTAAACAACTGTGTTCACCCGATTCCAACAATTAAATACTTCATATTGAATGGGGAATATTTGCCGAATTGATAAACTTCTTTTCCATATTTGCAAAAGAATATAAAACTTTTCTGAAGATTGAATTCTGCAAAGAGTTGGCTTCCCATTGCGATCTATTGATTAACTAAACTTTCTTATTACTTATTGCATGCTTTGAAAACTAGAAAAAGATGAACACTTTTCATTCCAACATTTTCGTATTACTTTACAAGCGTTTGAATGATGGGATTTTGATGTATTTTTAGTTTCGTTTGATTCCTTTGTTGACAATTTTTATGTTTATTGACGATCAATGCAATTGAAACTTAATGGTTTAAATAGCGACTAAAATTAGGAATAAAGATGGAAAACTGTTTCGACTTTATTCGTTTTCAATATTTCACTTTTGGCATCATTAGAATTAGATTATTTCTTTGCTTCTCTTGATCTTTTCTTAACGTTTCCATGATATTTAGCATTGAAATGAAGAAAAATGTTAACTTGATAAACATGAAATGCAAACAAGAAAAGGTATATTTAGATACACTTTGAGATTCATTTTTACCTCTTTCAATGTTTACAAATGATTTTCAAATTTCTCTTTCCGTTGATTTATTTACTTTCAGAATGTAGTTTTGATTATCTGAGTATTCTGTTGCTCATCTCATAACTCATGGAGAATAATAAAAGAGTCAAAAACATTAAATAAACACAATCAATCAAGATGATATACATTATAATATTTTGAATAGAAAATTGTTTCACCTTTTTACACACTTTTATCCAGCATTCAACAAATAATCTGAACAAAGGAAAACAACTCAAACTTATCAAATAGAACATTAATGTTTCATTTTCATGATTCTTTCACTATTCATTTCTGAATAATGATTTAAAAGGTTCATTTTCCAATCAATTAATTGATTTCCATAATCTTTACTTTGCGTTCATCTTATTAATATTTACTTTCCTCGAAATGCCTTTACAGTCGTAAAAACTTGGCAAGTCTAAAGTTGAAAATTGTAAGCAAATTGATTAATGACTTTGACTCGATTCTTTCGTGAAAACAAGATTTGTTCATATCAAGAGACTGACCATAAAAAGGCTCAGACGAAAGGTCAAAGAGTTACTATTTCAATCAATTTCAATGTTAGCCAAAAATCAAAAGTCAAGTGTGTTATCCATGCCATTGATGGAGTTGATAAAATCCATTATTCGCTATTCCATTGAAAGATTCTGTGAAAAGTAATCCTTTCCAGGAAAAGAGAACAACAGGAAAAAAGTTCGATGTTATTGCCATTTCTATGCATTTGGATAACTTTCAAATCCCAGAAAATGTTACAAGACAAGTTGACGTTTGAATGCAAATTGAAAATAATGTTTGCTCCAAAAACTTTTCCAAAGTTGGACATTTGTTTCCACTAAAGTTCCTAATCAGACTTGCAATTGCTAATTATACAGATTGTAAAATCTAAAGAATCCGAAATCGAGAATCTAAATTTCTTTTTTCATTGGAACCAGGAAAGAAAAGTTGATGATTTGAAAGTTGTTTGGTGAAAGTAAGATGTTGATGCAGTGTTGACCGAGTTTCATCGAATAATAGAGATTTTAGTTTCTTATTTTTCATGGAAATTGAATTTGCTTTTGGTAACCTTATAAATTTAATGATTCTATACGATCTCAGCCTGAAGGTATAACTCGATTTGAAATAGTAATTTATCGAAACTATAACAACATTTCTTTAGCCGTTAAAGTGACCAAACATTAGAGTTGCCATTGTGGTCCAATTATCGAGTTACCAACACTTGTTCAATTAGAAAATGATTTTCTTCTTCTGTTGAGAGGAAAAGTAAAGTAGGTTTATGTTGCCATTTAAACTGCATTCAATTTCCATGTTAAATGAGGTTTGAACAATGAGAACAATGAATAATTCCGTTAAACTCTGAGAAGCTACTTATCATGAAGAAGGCGCAAAGCACTTAATCTGATCATTACCGGTTTAGATTAAGCCTTTTTCCAGATTAGTTTGCAAACTCGGCAAATCGCACTTTTCAAATGTTCATTTGTTCAAAGCAAATTGGTCGATTAAGATTGAATTAAACCAATTGTTTAACTGATTACAACAAGAAATTCAATTACAACATGAACCAGAGCATGTAATTGTCGAAAACAGTAAAATCTCATTTCATTATCATTTATGGATTCACAGTAATATCTTTCAATGACAACAATTAGAGCTCATGATTACCAGAATATGGAAAATCCATGAAAAATGTTTGCATAATTAAACTTAATCACTTTGACGAAAAAAGCAAAACTTCGAAAAAAAAAGTTCTACAAGAGCGGAAAACAATTAGACAATTAATTATTGCTAATCTTTTGTCATTAATTAATGTTATTAATTGCATTCGAAAAAAGATTGAAGAGATTTTCGGTTAAAATAAATGATTAGTTTTACCAATGAAACCATTCATTGAATTTGGTTAATCTTCAAGTGAGAAACAAATGAAATTTACATTTTTCAATGTTCAGCTCAGTGAACCTTAAACTTATTTAATATTATTTTGATCGTTTCTGTCAACAGAATATGAATAAATTGATAGAACATTTTTCCATTAATAAATTGAAATTGTGTTTATTCGAGAAAAAAGAAAATCGAAAAGAAATGTTTCTAATAGTTTTTAAATAACGATAAAAAGATGAACCCATTTACATGTAATTTAGTGACGTTGGTGACGTTTATTGAAACTTCATTATTCTCCTC